TCAGAGTTCTGTAGGTGCTGTGTTGTTATTATTCGGTGTCGTGGGAGGGACATGGTGGTGGAAGGCGAGGGTGTAATCGGAGATTTGGGTTGATTGGTAGTGAATGAAGCTGATTTTGTATGTTTGAAGGTTGCAGCGCATACGGAGTTAATGTGGATATTGAGCTGCACGGCTTCGATGGGATACCTGTCTCGTATGACACAATGGAAGGTTTGCCTATGTCTCTCTGCCGCAGATTTCTGCATACTTCACTTGGCCATTTCGCTGATATGCAACAGAGTAAATTATCCCTCGAAGATGATGCTTCACCATTAGATGGTGGGAATAAATCTAAGCTTAAGTTGGGCTTGTTTTCGTATCCAGTTCTGCAAGCTGCGGATATTTTGGTTCATAGGTATGTACAGTAGATATCTACTTATTTCATCAATTTTTTCTCCTACATTTGTGCCATTTGGTCTGGAAACCGAAGCTGATACTATACATTCAAAGAGCAACTCACGTTCCCGTTGGCGAAGATCAAACGCAGCATCTGGAATTCGCCCGTGAATGCGTTACAAATTTCAACCATGCATATGGGCCCTATCTCATTGCACCTCAGACTCTCCTTTGTAAGTGTCCATCTCTATTCCTCATACCATCACTCTTCACATAATCTCTCTCTTCAGAAATCAGCTTCACTCGAGGACTAACACACCTGCAGCCCCAGCAAAACGCATCATGTCCCTCCAAGCCCCCACCCAAAAGATGTCCAAATCGCACCCCTCCCCCATCTCCCGCATCCGTCTTACCGACACACCCGACACCATCACCAAAAAAATCTCGTCCGCCCTGACCGACTCCCAGAACGCCGTTTCTTATTCACCCTCTGAGCGTCCTGGCGTTTCTAATCTTCTCACGCTATGGTCATCATTCGATACCCAAAATCCAAAACGAACACCCGCGCAAATAGCCGAGGAATGCAAAGCAAATAAGTTTACTTTGGGAGATTTGAAGCGGGAGACTGCCAATGCAGTGAACACAGGATTGGAGCCAATTAGAAAGAATTATGAGAGATTGTTGGGGGATGAAGGGTATGTAGAGGATGTAGCGAGGAAGGGAGGTGTTAAGGCGAGGGAAAATGCGGAGAAGACTATGGTTGAAGTTAGAGAGGCGGTGGGATTCTAGATGGCTTCAAGTGAGTGAGCGCAAACCTTTACATTGAAAGGGGAGGATGTAAAAGCCATTCAAGTGTAAGACGAAACCCTCTTGGTATGAAAAAAGAGAAGTTAGAATCATCTCTCTGTATTATATTAACGAAAGGAACAATACACCAGCTACACCTCACAAGCTTCGCTTGATATTTAACTTCTATATCACCCCTCACAAATCCCTCTCTCCGTCCGTGCTTCATCAAGCTTTCCCGACTTCGATTGACCTCACCTCCACTCATTCCTACAACTCCCCTTGTCAACATCAGACGACATTCCCCCAAAATGGATTCACTCTCACCACCCACTCACCCACTAAATCCAAAGCAAAAAAAAAAGACCACCAACCAAAACAGTAAAACCACAAAACAAAATAGCAAAAAACCGGTCTAGGGGGAAAAACCCCTCTGTGAGGAGGGATTTTTATTTCCAGCTATACCCTTCGATATGGGGATAGTACAGTCGCTGCTCAAACACCAGCACCCACCCGAAGGTGGTTAAAGCGCAGCGGTCGACCAACTGCGCCAGGGCGATGCGATGTGGTGTTTGATGACCGAAAGTTAGTGGAGGGGTTTGGATATATATATCTTTCCAAGTGGATGGATTTGGGTGTATCTATGTAGATAGGGATTGTCATACGAGATTGGTGGGCAGGTATATTGGATGCTGTGTTGGTAAGAAATGGGGCTTCTTGTAGGAGATATGATTCTTCGTTTTCGGTATCTTGTCTTTGATGTTGCACATCTATTGCATTTATCTGGAATTTCTAACCATGTGTCTAAGTATGTATTTCTATTCAAGATAGATACATGCATTGTTACTATGGTCCAGATCCCGCGCTCAATGTTCCTCCACCCACTATCCCAGAACCTCTCGCAAAGCACTATTTACCTGATTCCACTTCCATAATGCAAGAGACATCATACCCGAATAGCAGAGCAATAGCGCATGATACAAACCAGCAGCGGCGTAAAAACCACGTCACGAAAACTATCGTAAGTCCATACTCGACCTGTAAACCTTTACTTCTCGTCTTGCTCGATCCAATTTACATAGTTCGATCTGGGGCGGTAGACAGCTCCGACCCGCAACATTGCAGCGCATTTTATTAGCGGGCGTGGGAATCTACAGTACGCCTCAGGACTCGATAGGATACTGTCAAGCGGTGCGTCGAGTGCTAGAAAAGCCTACTTCTCGAGAATACTTTGAAAGACTAGTAACCAGCAACCAGCAGGGAATGAACAGATTTGAGAGCTCGCCCTTCATGAGAAACTGTAACTGATTTCACGTGTCAATCTCTCCCAAGTCTTGCTATTTCAGATTAGTCTCATAGATGTCATCACACTGCACCGCATAACAGTTCATAGTCAAATTGGAAGCAAGGAGAGCTCGGATTTTATATTTTATATCTATGGCCCGCTCCTCATTCATAAGATGCATCTTCTATTCAACGCTCTCAGACCGTATAACTTTTATGTTTTTTGGAATTGCCCGTTCGGCTTTTCATTAATCATCAGCGCTGGCATCTAGTGTCTTTATTTCATCCTCTCATTCAGAGCCAAACTCCATTTAGACTGACATGTCCTTCAACTTCTCCGCCGCTTCAGCTGGGGTAGCACCGACGGGTGCGACCTTTGGCTTTGGTGCTTTCTCAACCTTACCCTTTGCTTTTTGGGATGTGGTATCTTTGGGCAATTCCTTGGAGAAGGGAATAAATTCAGGGGCGCCAGGAAGATATTTACGGAGTGGCTCCGGAACATTGAATCCCTAATCGTAGTCAGCAAATAGAACCAAAAGAAATGTTTCTTTCTACTTACTTCTTCAGTTTGGAAGTTCTCCAAAAGACAGCACAACGCACGCTCAGTTGCACACAAAGTAGAGTTAAGTGCATGGACATAGTTCTTACGAATTCCAGTTTGTGTCTTGGGTCCATATCTGATCTCAAGAGCTCTGGATTGGTAATCTGTGCAGTTTGAGCAAGAGACAAGCTCCTTGTATTCTCCTTGGAAGGGGAACCAAGCTTCAAGATCGTATTTCTTTGCAGCTGCATTATTGAGAGCACCCGAGACGATTGCGACAACTCTGTATGGAACACCCAGGGATTGGTAGAACTCCTCTGAGAAGCTGATCATACGGTCAAACTCCTCCCATGACTTTTCTGGGTCGGTGAGAACAAATTGCTCGATCTAAAATGGTTAGAGAAAACGGGTTAAACTCATGTTACAAAGAATATATACCTTCTCAAATTGATGGACTCTGAAAATTCCCCATGCGTCCCTACCGTGAGAACCAGCCTCTCGTCTATAACATGAGGAGAAACCAGCATATCTTCGAGCTCAAGTCAGTTCAATGTCTTCTCGCCCAAGCTTTCTCTACGTACCTAATAGGCATATCCTTAGCAGTCAACCACTCATCAGCATGGAAAGCTGAAATTGGCTGTTCAGAGGTAGCAATAAGATATTTATCGTTTTGGGCATCTCCATCAACAACCTTGTAAAGTTCCTCGTCGAATTGCTCCAACTGTGCGGTCTTCGCCATGTATTCCTTCAACATGAATTGAGGGGTCTGTAATGGTGTATAACCCTTGCTATCCAAGAACTCTAAGCCATAATTGATCAAAGCCTGATTCAAGAATACACCCCACTTCTTTAAGAAATAACCTCTGTGCCCTACAACCTTAACACCACGCTCTGGATCATAACCATCCAATCTTGTCAGAACTTCATGATGTGAAAGAACATCCTTCTTCTCAACAGTGACACCTTGGGGGGCCCATTTACGCAGTTCTTCGTTGTGATCCTAGTACCCATTAGCCACACCGGACCTGAAGAGTCTCGTATGCTGCCCATGTAAAAATACCTCGTCGTTGTTCACAGGTACAGATTCGTGAACAAAGTTACCAATTGTGCGAATCTTCTTGTTCAAAAGTACTTCTTTCTCTGCAGCGGCGTCATCCCAAGTCTTCTTCTCCTTCGTTAAATCGGCTTTCTTTTGTAATAATTCGGTAGCATCCTCCTTGGCCTTCTTTTTTGCGCCAATCTCTTTTTGAGTTTCGTTAATCTTGCTGTTGACCTGGGTAGCTGCGTACTGGGCTGCGATGTTTGTGAGTATTTACATACTTGGGCTTGTGTTTACTGGCTTACTTTTGCGGTGATCCTCATACATAGCAATCACTTCATCAACAACCTCTTCAGGAGCATATCTGCGGCGCTGAGAGTCCTTGATCTTTTGTGGGTTTCCACCCCTCTCAGTAATGAAATCGTTAACGTCAAGCATTTTGAAAATAGTTTAGTACACTCAAATATGTATGCGACGAGGAATCTTGTGTGTTTGAGCCGGTCAACTTTTTGAGTCACTAGTAAATTGTTCAAAGTACGATTGGTGGGGTCGCGATTGCAAGGCTCCGCTAAGATAACATTCTGGCTGATTGTGCTCAGCACGTGATATGTGTTTTTGTTATTCACTACCCCTTTTCGCACTACCACTCTGGCAGGCCATTTCGCCTGGCATTTCTTTGCATGACGAATCTGTGTTTAGTATCGGCTCATCGATGTGTTGTACAGACCTCTTCAATGCAATCTATACAAGACCAACGTGTTGGGACAGACAGTGAATACCGTTAAACGTGTACCATTGAACCGTTCGCAACTACCTCCATGTTTTATCAACGTTAACTGAAGACATAGCAAGACATATGCCTCTGTGACTAGATATCTAGAAAGATGCCTCTCCCAACTCCAAACTCCCATACTAAGTTAACCACAATCAGACATGGACATCATATTCCAACGTATACTCCAATCCCTTTGTCTCTCACATGAGAATACATTTGGAATCCCCTGAAGGCTCATTAGGATTTTCACCTTTCTCGATTTGCTCAATCATGAGTTCGAATCCCTTGGTAACATTCTCGTTATAACGTGCACTTGCTTCAGTGAAAGCGCACTTGATTTTCTCAGCCAATGCCTTGCCTTGCTCAGCAGTGACCTGACGCTGCTCTGGTCGAAGATCACTCTTGTTACCAACAATTGTGATTGGAACCCACTCAGTACCCTATGAAGTGTTAGAGGTCTTCATGTTTGAAGGAAGTTAAAGCAGAATCGGAATTTCTATCATACCAAGTGATTCAAGATCTTATCCTTAATGACTTCTACCATTTCAAAGGATTGCATGGAAGCAACAGAATAGACAAGCACATAGCCATGAATACCAATGAAATGCTTTGAATTTAAGATACTGTATTCATCCTACGAAGTGAAGTATATTAGTCGTGTTTTCCATCTACGTAATGACATGTGATTTTGAATCAAATAGCACACAAGTAGATAGATATCTTACCTGACCAGCTGTGTCAACGATCTCAGTGGCGAATTCTTGCCCTTTGTACTTGATGACCTTGCTGAAAGTATTTTCGATGGTCGGATAATAACTTTCTACAAAGTGACCATCGACAAATTGTACAGTAAGTGAAGATTTGCCTGTGGAAGAGAAGGGTTACTTTGATGTGTTGTGTTTTACATCACACATTATAATGACATACCGACAGATCGACTACCTACAATAGCAATCTTGCGTTGTTTAGGTGGTGCAGGCATAATGGAGAAGGTATAAAAACTTTGAATAAACTTATAAGAAAAGGGGGTTCTTGCGATTGAATACAAGGAGAGCGAGATATGGAAGAGCTTTGGATGTTCTTGTTTTGTTGGTTCTTGTCTGATAAAACAGGACAAGGCTGAGGAGGTTGTAATTAAGTTGAAAGTAGACCGACCAGTTTATTAGTGCTTCAATGGGTTTTAAGTCCAAGGTTCTTACAGCGCCTGAGCGCTAATATTTAGGCTGAGCGGACCCAGATTAAGCTCGGCTCGGAAGACGACACCACCCTAACTCGATAGATCAAAAGACTCGAAAGAGTATTAGAAGAAGCACTGAGCGAAAGTTAACAAAAACGATTAAATTTGTATGAATCCAGATTTGTATCATGTTTCAATCTGAAGACGAATCTAGGACCAAGGTACAAGAGGCCTTTTTCTTGTATAATACAAGGCCATTCCAAGAATTGGAAGTTTGGGCAAAATGACATTTCCTGGTGTGGATTCGATCATCAACTACAGTACTCTACATTCAATAGTACTTGCTGTCATGTCATTCCAGACCGGAGCCCATCGCCCGAGTTCGACCTCATCACGCGTCAAACACGTTCAAACACATAGTAGGCGAGCCGAATGGATTACTCGTTCCGAATCTGCCACGACAACACGTAGTATCAGATGAGCAGACTGCTAGGTGATAAAATATCTTCATACCTTTAAATCTATAATAAATATGGTAATAATAATGTGTTGTTTGCGTGGCCAGAGATTAATCGTGAAAACCCAGCTATACCCTATGAATATTTTCGATTAAAGAAGCCCCCATATCATAATTTCCTGAAACTTCCCCTTTGCCCAATCCCGCCCATTTCGAAACAACTGCACCTAGGGTATATTGCAATTGTTCTCTCCGATTTAAACGCCTAAAATATATCATCATGTATCAAGACATCTGTATCATATCCATTGTAACCCATTATACTCGTGACAATCGTCACCCCATCAAACGCCTTCCTTGACCGGCCTCCCAAAGACCTTTCTATATTCACTTTAGGCCCCTTTGATCGTCAATAACTTCTGTACGAGATCTTCGAGTTGCTTCGTCACAGTAACGTGAGGACTGTGTCCATCTTCATTGGGAGCAATCTCATCGTCAGCCGCTTTATGATAGACGATAAATTCATTGATAGATGTAATGAGGGGTCGAAGTGTTTTTGTTGTCTGTCGCATCCGAATTCGTTTCTCGATGGCCGGCAATAAACAAAAATGTCCCAACAATACCGACAAGTATCCAAACGGAACATTTTTGTGTGATTCGTGTTGAGAGTCCACCTATCAAAGTTAGTATACCGGAATGAGAACCCTTCGCAAGAACTCACCTCAAAGGTTTTCTCTCTATTATCTACAAAGAGGCGGATCAATTCATCCAAAGGATCCCCGGCTGTCCCAGCAAAATCATTGATATTTTCGAGCGCTTTTGTGCTCCACAAGGCAAAATTGATCATCGCTCCAATGAGAAGGATCAAATTATCCACAGCCACGACGATTTCCTCTTCCGCCCATAAGCTTGACATGCTTTTGAATTTGGCAACGATGATGCGGAGAATGGTGAACATGAGACCCGAGTCTGCAATCGCATCGCAAGCTTTCGGACTGTGATTGGTGACATTCACTGTCAATTTCAATGCCAAAATTTGTGGCTCGCCAAAGCTCTCAAGCGGCCTATTCAAAGCGGTATTGAGGGTATTGCCTATGATAGGCAGCAATTGATGAATCCAAATTGTCTCATCCTGGGCAATTCTCGACACAAGAGAGTGAGATTCAAGAGTGGAAAGCGTCAAATAAAAGTCCACAGCTTCTGTTCCGTGGGGGAAGTCCCATGCGGCATCCGAATCTGAAAATTTTAAAATCTCAAACAAGCTGGTATTCAGATCTTCAGAAATTATGTCACTAGAATCTCCAGCCTCCCTGCATTGTCTGACCATAAGCTCAAGGCATTTTAAAGCCAAGGTTCGAGGGGAGAGTTCACGTGGGCTAAGATCCTTCCATGCTGGAATTGCAAGCAGAGAATCATGATATGCTGCCATTGATTTCTGTGCCATCTTGGACATATTTGTCTTACGCTCCTTTATCACAGTGACGAAGTTTTTCTCGACCGATATGAGACGGCCGAGTAGCTTTGCAATACCTTGTTGCTGAAGTTGCGATACCACGAGAGGCGCGCTCCCCTCTGCCAAGATAGGCGTGATGAGTGATGTCATCAAGAATCCCGATACGACATCAGCTTCTTGGCCTATATCGATAAATAGTCGCTGTTCAGCACTATGAGCACGGAATTGCCGAACAAATGCTTTGTCCTTCATTTTTAACCCTAGGTCTAAAAGGCCGGAGCGTCGCATAGATGATACTTTTATGGAGGGCCTCCCAATACGATCGAGCAAATCTTCTACTTCGTCCGCAAAACGACTATTCGCTCCCGCTTGCCTTAGCTCATGAATCGTGCGGATAGCGGTACTTGCAGCTTCATCTTCATGTTGCTCTTCCTCGCGAAAGCTTGATAACGGCTTTAGGCAGGGTATAGAGCCTCGGCGACGCTGTGAGTTTTGTGGAGTTTCCAGAGGCATGTCAAAAGCCAATTGCTCCATCATGTCTTCTTCAACAAGCATGGAGCGCTGTCGACTATACGTAAACTTGGGCCCCGCGATTGGGGGGCCTTGACTAGCTTGTACAGGTGCAGTAAAAGTAGGGACTTCTGGAGCAAGACTATGGGCTCTTGAAGTGTTCAAATGTTGGAAGTGATCCTCAAGCTGAGAATTATCATGTTCGGTCCCAGATTCATCATCATCATCATCATCATCGTCCTCATTTTCCAGATCTTGGCGAGGCGTCTGCTCGACTAATGAATCGATTAATCGTTTGCGAGGAGTGAGGTTAGCCGGTTTTGTGAAAGTCGCAGTCTTAGATAACTTTCTAGCAATTGGGTACACTCTCTTCGGTGTACTCACGACTAAAGAGAGCTCATCTGCACTACTCATCGTGGTATCTTGAGTTTCGTTGCCGATCGTATCCCATAACTTTGTAGCCTTGGGAGAGATGTGATGCCCAGGACTTTCAGCGAATCGTAAGCTCGCAGCGCTGCTGGTAGAGGCAGAGGATCTTGGTCGTTGCTGCACCGACGTTCTATTACTCTGCTTCTGTGGACCCCGATGTATTGCTGGTTTGGTCAGGATAGACTCCATAACAGGCGTAGCATGAACGACCTGTCGCTTTGGTAAAGTATCTGTAGTTGGCTTGACTTGCCTAATCATAGGATGTGGTGGCGCCTTGGGCAAAGTTGCTGCAAGTTTGGAAGGCTCCCGTCGCGGCTGTTCAGCTGGTGATAACTTCCTCTTCTTACGCTCGGGCATTTCCACCGACTTAACATTCGCGGATTCTGTTGTTATGAAGTGCTTCGCGTTTCCAACGGTCAATTGCTTTTGCGTAACCTTTGGTGGTAATTTGGAGAGATTCTTCCTCGCCGAGGGGGGCTCATCATCATCGCTAAGTGGCACATCATATATTGTAGAAGTTTGCGAAGGTTTCTGTTTTATTTTTGGAACGTTCTTCCGCCTCGTAGCTTCATCCTCTTTATTGCCCAGAGGTACGCCATGCATGGCAGATTTTCCCTTCAGCTTCGGTGCAGATTTGGTAACGTTCTTGCGCATTAAAAGAGGTTCCTCTTCATCGCTGAGGGGCACATCGTATAAATCGACAGCAGATTGATTTTTTAGGGCAGAAGGTGTGCTAGGTGATGGCTGCTTGTAGACATCGCGAGGCCTTTCATGATTCGATGCACTGGGCTCATTGTTTGTAATGAGACCTGTCTTTGTTAAATCGGAAGGTGTTGTGCGATGGACCAATTTTGTATAGCTATGGCCTGCAAGATGTTTCCGTGCGGGCTTCCCATATGTAGTTATTGTTTTCCGAGACCTTGCCATATTTTCATAGGCCGCCATGTTGCACGGAGGAAATGGGTAACTCGGAAAATGCAAACGTGAATCTGCACATCGAGTTTTGGAAATGCCACTGTCGCAAATCAATTATTCAACAAAATGTCATTTGTATAGGACCTTAAGTGGTACGAGCTTGAGGGTATTCAACTGCCGAAAGTGTCTTTGTGAGAAAGTGGTGGTTGCTATAACCGTTGACGAGAACGTTTGTAGAATTGAATTGATCAATTATGAATGGAATGTTCAAAGCAATCATTACTGGAGTACTCGAGGAAAGAGCACCAAGATTACCTAAGGATGGTACCGGGAAAACGTTACTCCGATCCCTCCCCAAACGAAAATGAATGCTATTGGAAGAAAACCAACGGTCATTGTTGAAATCCTGAACATGCTTATTATTATTAGTAAATACACCTGAGTATAGAGGGTATTTCTCTTGAGGAAAGGATTGGAATCTGTTCCAAGGTTTACGGTTCCTATAGCCATTGATTGACAACCTTGTGAACCTTGTGTACAGCAGTTACCCAGCAGTACTAGGAAATTCTCCGCAAATTGACAACCTTATATTGAGTTAACTAAGTTATTATAGTCTTTGCACCTCGAAAGAACATCTAACATCAACTACTGATCTCCTTTTCCTAACAGCAACAAAACTCCTTTCCTTTACCAAGTTATCAGCAATAGTAGTTCTTGACCCATTCCAGTTGTGAAGGAGTTGAGAATATCGATTTGTATCTCCTTTGAAAACAGTTTGTCATAGAATTGGAATAGCACCTACTCTTCAGAGCCTGCCAAGACAGTCCCTGTTCTTATCGGCTATCAGTTTATCTACTCAGTACTCATCCGCACACTGCATTTCGCTTTGGACCGGCCCCACGAGAAATCATACGGAGGGCTCCGCAGAGTTGTGAACTGCCTACATTCTTGCAGCTCTGTGTTGTATGCACTTTGAGCAATAATCAGCAGGATTTCCTCGAGGTAAGTGAATGAACAAGCTTCTTTAGCTGCTACCTTTATAAAGCTACAGAATTATCACTAAATTGACCACTAACTAAAATAGCGAGGAGAACCTCATCGTCAATCTCGACTGTGTTATCCATTGAAGCTCTACCCCTCAGGAATCTCGATAGCAAAATGTCTTCTGAATCTTTAGAAGGTGTAAAATCACCCGCACAAAGTGTTGGTCCTGATTACCGCCCCGAGAAACCTGTTGCAACTGTTTCAACTCCAGTCTCCTTCGAGAATGTTCACACGTTACCTCAAACCCCGCAGCTTATTGCTCTTCTCACGTACGTCATGAGAGTATTTCACGTACCATACCACATGCTTACCTCGAGTGATATAGCATGATCCGAGACAAGAATACGCAGCGAGCCGATTTCATATTTTACTCGAACCGAATCATTCGTTTACTGGTTGAGGAAGGTCTCAATCACTTACCAGTGGTAGAGCACACGATCACTACCCCAGTTGGTCGTACATATGCAGGAGTCCAATTTCAAGGAAAAATATGTGGTGTTTCCATTATGAGAGCTGGTGAAGCTATGGAGCAGGGACTACGGGATTGCTGTCGTTCCGTGCGAATTGGCAAAATACTGATACAAAGAGATGAAGAAACTTCATTGCCTAAGCTCTTCTACGATAAACTTCCAGAAGATATTGCGCAACGCTGGGTATTGCTTCTTGATCCAATGTTCGCTACAGGTAAGTCACACCCTCAAAGACTCGAATGGTGGTATTCTGATGCTTGACTTAGGGGGATCTGCATCGATGGCAGTAGACGTTTTGATTTCTCGAGGAGTTCCAGCAGAAAGAATTCTGTTCCTGAACTTAATAGCAAGCCCAGAAGGCATCGAGTCCTTCGCTAAGAAGTACCAGAAGGTTAGAGTGGTAACAGCATTTATTGACCAGGTGGGTACTCACTTATTGCATTCTTCTCGATTTGCACAACTCAGCTAACATAATGACAGGGTCTCGACGAAAAGAAGTATGATCCTCACCAGATAGTATTGAGTTTTGCTAATGTCCATCTAGTTATATTGTCCCTGGTCTTGGTGACTTTGGTGACAGATTCTATACTATGTAGAAGGTCTGGGTTCCAATGTCTCCTTAATATTTTAGCTATCTACCAACGAGAAGAAGAAGAAGAAGAAGAAGAAGAAATAACAATATCCGTTGGTGTATCCAATCAATCTGTTCACTTGTACCAATATGTTTTTGCAACCAAAGAGGTGATGATTTCAATCCATTTATCAATCGCAGGGCAAAACCGTGTGAAGAGCTCCGCCAACCGTGAGCCTCCCAAACTCCAAACAGTAAAATTATCACAACCCAAGCCAAAAATCCCAATCTCAATAATCCTCGTCGTCCGCGACTATTCCATCGCCACCGTAACCACCCATCCCATCCTCGTCTCCCATTATGTCGTCATCATTGTCATCGTCATCCGCATCGCCCTTTCCAGCAGCGCCGGATGACCGTCGAGCAGGCGCGCGTTCTGGGGCAAGATCTCCTCCATCGTCTCCTTCTTTTGCGACAGCATCGCAAGCATCAACCCAATCGGCATATACGTCCACGGAAGCCGACAGATCTGTATGCGGGCCAAAATTAGCTTTGCATGATTCTCTACTAGACGTCCTTTGTTGAGGAGAACTTACAGTTGATGGCGCATTGGAATTTTTGGTCGCATACTTTGCAAGACAAGTGACCAACACCAGCTTTCTTATCAATTTTCACGATGACCGAGTTTTCGTGATTACAAAACAGACAGGGGAAAGTTGTACTAAGAACTTCTTTCTTTGCCAAATGTCAGTATATGTCGCAACTCAAAGAGAATCGGGAAAGTTGCGAAAAATGCTGTACCTTTTTGGGACCCTGAACCTTCTTGGCTGCCTTACGTTTACCCTAACGCATGGATTAGAAGCTTGTAACGACAGAGGTGGAAGATTGATCTTTACTTACCATTATGCTCTCTGAAGTTCTTTAGAGTTGGCTAGGAGTAATGATAAGGTATGTTTAAGAAAATTGCAGTGGGACTCAAGCGCGGCTCGGAATATGTAAAGACGCGACTGCTAGCCTGTGCTGCTAGTTTCTAAGCGTCACAAAGCTTTGGGAGCTCCGGGGGGGGGGGGGGTTAGGCTCTGGCTGATTGCTGGGTTGGTTGGGGTTGATTCTTGTAATTTGATAGCTTATTTGTATGGGTATGGGCTTATCGATAGCGATATCACTCCCCTTGAAAGAAATTTGGGGAATTTGGGGAATTTTAGGAAGCTGCCGATGATGTACCTAGGTAGTGGTAGTGGTAGGTATGGTGAGTAGGCGGAAATGGCTTACTTGTATTAACAAAGACGGGGGTTGAATTAAAAGGGGGTTGGGTTTGATGCAGAAGTTATAAGGATTATGCATTCTGACTCAAAGTTGAGGAATCAATAGGCATATATCAACCGTACAATGAATGGCTCAATTGAATCAATGCTGTGTACACGCTAGCTGGAATGACTGAATCAATTACTACCTACGGCTAATATCTCTGCGCATGTACCTAGGTATGATTCTGTGAGACTTTGAGCACTGTAGCCACTATAGCCACTGTAGCCACTGGTAGCTTATTATTACTCCGTAAATTCGCAGTGCAAGTCCCTTCCTTCTTTATACTCCCGTAGTGGGGCTGATAGACCTACCTAGGAGTCGTGCTATCTTGTTAGATACAGCCAGCCCAATTTTGACAGTGGCATACATCTTTCATCAATCTGTGCCCACTTTCTCTCAATCTATTCATCGATCCGTCCATCCATCTCCTTCCTCGTATCATCAATGAGAAAGAGGAAAGTCACTTTGCCATTTTTGTTAATCACGTAATACGTGTTCTTGTGCCTTCCTTTGGAGACCTTTAGCTATCTCACTAACTACCTACTACCTACTACCTACTCCCTACTCCCTACTCCCTACTCCCTACCACCTACCACCTACCTACCTAGTAGCTATCTGACAAGCAAACAATACCAACCCGCCGAATTCCATTTACCCCTCATCTTCCATTTATAAGATCTGCTTGCTCCCCTTTGCAAATCAACTGAAATCATTTACTTTCCTCTCGAACCTGTTCCTTTTTGAATTCCATCATATCCCAAAGCTGCCTTCAAAGATGTCTTCCCCGCCTCCTGATCAGACCGCTTTAATGCAGGAGATCCTGAGTTCCATCAAAAATCTACAACTCAACCAGGACCAGCTGTCATCTAACGTCGATGCTATTACCGGCCGTGTCAATGTCTTAGCTGGTATGAAGGAAGTTCGAGATATTGCTTCCACGGATCCAGCAACTATTTCCAAACCTTCCGAGCCTGTTGCAAGCAATGATGAAAGTGCATCCAAAGATGAGAATGAAGCGAAGGTGCCCAAGTCTCCAACGATCTCGGCGGCGAAGCCCGATGAAGCACCCATTCCTTCTTATACCCAAAAAGCAAGCACCGGTACTTCTCGAATCATTCTCACGTGAGTCTGTTCGAATGCACGTAGGGAACATCTTAACTGAATTATGATATAAGTACATACCCTGGACAATCCGGTATCAATCCACTTCCCATGGAATGGGGTCATAGCGACCCGCAAATCAGAGGACCGGTAGTTGTCTCTAGAGCTACAGAAACAGCTCGAAGACGTAACGGTAAGTTTGTTCCCCATTTCACAGATTGCTCGTATACTTACTGTTTGTCTTAGCAATTGGAGGTATGTTTTGGTTGTCTGCTAATAACTCGTGGTGTAATCTGATATTTGACATTCATAGCTCACGGTGGATCCTATTCGATATACTATGCTTTGGCCGTTGCTAGCAAGGAAATCAAGGCAGACCATAAGTAGGCTTCAAACAATTTTGTATTTCGTATGTAAACAAATTAACACATTCCAGGCCAGATTTCACAAACACAGAACCTGCCGCCAACATTGGTCCCTTCCCTCAATGGGCCGACAAGAAAAAGATAGTATCGATGGATCCTTTGGGCCATCTCGCTCCATGGCTCTTTAAGGACACAATTGAGAAGGAGAATGGTAAGTAGCCCCCAAATAAGGGCACAAATTAGCCTTGAGCTGACAAAACTCAGTTGATATTAGACCTACAATTGGTATGTACTTTGACAGCCTTCTGGAAGGTCGACATCGTATTAGACAGCAGAACTAATTGTATCAATAGCAATCACTCGAGCTCATATGAAGGTAATTTATAAAGTTAGCAGCAAGGTAGCAATACAAATCTAATGAGATTTATAGCTACCTGAATTAGAAACTAGCGTGCGTGAAGGCCGGCTCAAGCCGGATGGCAAGATTTGCTTGAATGAGGCTGGTGAACTTGCAGTCACAAAATTTGCCGTGGAACCAGTATGTGCATTGTCTTGCTTGACAGATATACGTCTAATAATATTATAGGTTTGGTATTTACCTGGGGTTGCTGAGCGATTTGGCATTTGTTCGTATTTCTATCACAATTTCGGGAGTCGTTCTGCTTACCCATAGTCTAGCCGAAGGGGTTCTGAGGAGAGCATTGTTCGAGCACACTGGTGGATCATACCCCGAATTGATTACCAGAGGAGACATCAAGCTCTTCATGCCACCAATTGGTATGAAATAGTAATCTCGATCTATCGTGGAAATATCTAATTATCTATAGGTGGTTTGACCGTCTACTGCTTTGGAGACCCCGCGAAGATGTCAGATGAGAATGTTCGCCTAGCTTTACGAATTCATGACGAGGTAAAAAATCAAATGCCGCAATTTTGAGGTATTACGATTAGGAGATCTTTCATGCTGATTTCTTGTGGTAGTGTAACGGTAGTGACGTGTTCGGATCTGATATTTGTACATGTCGTCCTTACCTGATCTATGGTATCGAGGAGGCTGTCAAGGAGGCGCAAAAGGGTGGTAGTGGGGGTGAGTACAATCGGTTCCATTTCACAACCCTGATATTCAACTCTGTTTGCATGTTTCGTATTTTATGTTCAATGTGCACATGGGAAACAGTTGGGATTCCCAATTACATTCGCTTTCCATGCAATTTTAGCTCCTTGCTTCCTTTCAAAAGTTTACAGGCAATTACTGACTCTTGTGTTTCTAGTCGGTGAGTTATGTATTTGACAGTGCCTCAACACCATGACTAACTGCTTCCCGAGTGATTTACTTCAGAAAAGAAGGTAGAGCTCTTGGAGAGGTTACAAAGGTATTTGAATATTTCCGCGGCTGATAGGTTGTCTGCACTGCATTTATCCTTCTGTTGTGGAGCCCATCGAGGCTTGTCGATTTGTTCCAATACCCACTTCACCACACCATCTCCCCACTCCCTAATCACTTTCCGATGACATCCGCATTTTATCCCCTCAGATCTTCATGATTTATCACTTCTCTGGATCTTTGAGACAGCCATCTAACTCGGTCATGTAGTACCTCGTTTATAACGCTAGAAAGCGTGGACTTGATCGAGCTTCGGAATATTTCAAGCGCACGGAAAATATTGCCGGTGTAAAGGATATGCGTTTCCAGGCATTGATGCCCGACATTCTTCATTGGTTGGGAATAAAGAAAATTGACAGAATGCTAAGTATGAGCAAGTAAGTGGCTTGAATCCACTACACAAGACGCAGGAGTAACCATGTTTACAGCATGAAACACGATGCCATAGTCGGTCAAGGGTATGAACCAAGCACGCGACGTTGATTTCCATTACTGAACAAACGTCTAGAATCCCCATCCATGAGAGAGTTGAGCTTCCTGAATCATGGATCCCAGCGGATTCGAGGGTCGAGATTGATGCAAAGATTACAGCAGGTCAGTCTTGCACGCATCATTTACCGTCCATAACTTGTAATAGGGCTGAACAATTGCTACTAGGATACTTTACTACTGGTCACAGAATGACTGAGGAGGAACTTGCTGCTGTCAAGGGACGTAGTTGGGATGAGTATGTGTACCCCTTCAAGAAATTTTGCAGTAGTGAGACTTTATGAAACTGACCCAGAAATACAGTATTGATCATTGATCACGCGCAGAGAGAAACAGTCATGACTCGGGCCGCACAATATGTACCTGCATGCAGTATGAATGCCTAACATACCAAACGTAGTCTAGTACATAGAACAACGATTTTATTTTACCGTACCAATGTTTTAACTTTTGTCTTGTCAGATCTCGGTTGAGCATGGTGACTTGTTTGACAAAACATACGACATTACGACGTTACCGTATTCTAACCACAGAAAGTAGGGTACAGTAGTGCTTCACAACTATCGTATGCAGTCAAACCACCCAATATATATATCGAATTTCCCAAGTTCCAAGATTCTTGAGAATTGGGGGGGAACGCCATATTATCGTAAAGTTTGAGTCGTATCCTGACATTTATTGGGGGGCAACCAGTAAGGCGGGCCCGAGTGAGGGGTCAACATTGGTAGTGTATTTTGGATGGTAAGCTTGCCCACCTTTTCCCATGCACGTTTGATGCATGTGTACAACACCATAACCATTGACAACCCACCACATCATTGCTGTTGGCGTGGACGCAATGAATGCGGCAATTAGCTCACCGTCTGACATGTGGCCAGACCGACCCTTTTTCTTTTTTATCGGCTTTTTGGTAAGGATGTCCTAAATCGGCTTGAGTTGTTTATCTACGTCGTGTTTTGCATTTTGCTTGACAGGCCTGCCATGCTTTTTGTGTGTGTTATTTAATATAGACAGGTGTATCGCCCAACTTGCTTTACTCCTCTTTCTTTCCTTCTAGAAAACCTTCCCCGGAATTAATATAGTCTTCCTCACTTACTTTCTCTACGAAGAATTAATATCGTCCAAAAGCTTCCAATCTATCATCAATTTCACCCAATCTCATCCATCGGTCTGCTCCGGATCATTAGTGGAGAAAACGAAAGGTTATATAATATCACGGGACGATCAATCCTTCGCCTCACCCGTATATCAAACGTGACTCCACCAATCACACATCCCCTTCCTCCCCCTCGGTAGAAAATCACCATGTCCACCAAAACTCAATCGCGCGGATCCTCGCCCAGCATGTCTGCTCGACCCAAACTCATGCGAGCACATGCCACGGCGCCTTCCCTCGTCACCGGAAATGCCTCGCGTAAGGATCTCGCGACGCTGCACGCTTCGACCAAGGCGGCGTCGATTCTCACGCGGGTGGCGAGCTACTCGGCGCAGCAGGATCACATGAATGGAGGGGCTTCGAGGAGAGATAGCGGGAGTGCGTACTCGACGCCTGGGAATCGCAGTCCTCGGAGTCCGGAGAGTGGGAGCGGGTTGGCGAGGAGCTGCAAGCAGGAGTTGGGGATGAAAGGGTGTTCGGGTGGTTTTCAGTGTTAGTATTTTCAGTTTTTCATTTTTTCCCCTCCTCTTTTTTCCTGCATTTCCTCAGATGGGTTGCGGGCTTGAGATTCCCCAAGAAGACAAATGGCTGATTATAGTGATAGCAGCGGGCTACTTTAGTTTCCCCTCGTTTGAAGATTTTCAAGGATACCAAGAACCAAATGAGAGAATGGAACGTAAGAGTGTGTCGTGAGACACTCTCCACAAATCATTTGTTTGAATGGTCGGGATGGAAAAAAGAGATGGAGAAAAAATAAAGTACATAAGGGAACGAGTCAATCGTTCTTGATCATCATCATAGTAATAGGTTCTTGGGCTGGTTCTTGGAACGAACAGGGTTTCGATATATGGATATTCTTTGATACCTTTTTCCGTGCAGCACACGGATGGAATGGACACATGACATATGTGGACGGACGGACGGACGGGATAAGTGTTCAGGGCGTCCGGAACACGGGACTGGTGGTAATTCTTTAGTAAAAAAGTATGGGGTGGGTCGATTCGATCACGAATTGGAGGATCTCTCGGCAGATCCGGGTTGAGCTCCAAGTTCTCATCTCGGATTTCTGACGGATGGGATTGCCGTGGATCAGTACGGTATGGTATGCTATGGCATACCATTGAGGAATGAATGAGATGTTATCCCTCCTGGGGTAAACAGTGCTCCGTATATATGGGTTAACGTTCGAATCGGTGTACATTGGGAATCTGTATTTATGGCTGGCATTCCTTCCTTACATTATATACCCTTTCATATATACAATGGTTTTGGGCGTTGGTATTCATTCAAAGAAATACCTGGTATTTATTTAACAATCTAATCGAACATTTTTAAAAAGACGTTGTGGTTTTGTGTGTGTTCTTCTTTATCAGGAGTAGATTGAGTGACTGGTTGTTGTGCCATGGACAATAGATCTGAAAGGTAAAGAGGAGGGGGTAAATGATTAAGGAGAGGAGAAAACTGGCATCGATTTTCTAATCCTGGTACGCAATAAACTTGTCGTAGCGTTCCAATGTCGACCTCCTGTGTTTCGTAACACTAGATAAGAATTTTTTTGGAGATATTCATATGGCTATGGAGATGTGAATGCAGAAAATTGGCTTGGACACCGTTATTCTAACACAGTTGTACATTTTTCAATCCATCAATAGCTGTGTGAAACCAATAAAATCATTTATCATATGCGATCCTTATTGTTCTCCATGATATTTGGATCAGTGCCACTTGGCTGTTATTGTTCATTGAACAAATTAATGAGATTTTTGTAATTCTAGTAATTCTGGTAATTCTAACTTACTTTCCAGAAAGACCCTACACGATCAATTCACTGAGTTCTTCAGGATGATGAACGAAGCCAGCAAGTGTTTCATTTCCAATAGAATAAATGTATTGGGCTATATCCTACGCCTAATATACAACTCTTTTGATCCACTTTTCCCATTCTCAGGTGAACCTTTTTTGCGTCTCCCGCCCTGCCTATGTTGAAGGGATTGTTTAGATGCAACCCCAAGACCAAGCGCCGCCACTCCTGTTGAATGCCCTTTTAATTCAAAACTCCCAATGCAAATTTGTACATCCAATTTTATTTCTTCATTGCTTAATAAAGCACACGGGTGAGGATACGTGCTGAATATGTTAGTTTCGTATGACTGAGTAAAGATGTGGAGGAACTTACAGCTCAAGCTTTCTAAGCTCTCAACAATATCCTTGAGATCGCTAGTTTGTACGTTGCTAATATCAGCCATAAGGTAGGCAACCTAAAAGGTATCAGCACATGATTGCAACCGTTTGGAACCCCCAAAGTTTACTTACGTCGCCCTTGTTATCAGTAATTTGCTTGTCTACATTGTGGTCGCCGAGAATTTCGTTAACCTTTCTCAAAACACCAGGAATGTTGTGATGGATGTAGATGACCTGTTGTAATGAGTAAAACCATCGTATAATTACGGACGACGAACTTACTCTCGCATGGTTGGACTCGTCCAGTGTAAGCGAACGGAGGTTGACCTCTGGTAAGTTTACAGCTCCAAGGGTAACACCCAAATTCACGTATCTAACAAGAGCGTCACCAACTGAAAGATCATGTTAGCCGATGATATTACTAATGCTGGGGAAGCACATACCTTCAACACCAATGGCACGTTGGGCCTCCTCGGTACTGCCACCAATGTGAGGGCTGAGAATGATGTTTTTAAGATTACGAAGATCCTCCGCCCAAGTGTTTAACTCGTTTGTAAAGTAAGGTCCATTTCCACCTGGCTCACTTGGGTATACATCCAAAGCTGCACCGGCAATCTTTCCACTCCTCGAGGCTTCAATGAGAGCTGGAATATCAATCACACTACCACGGGATGCATTGATAAGATAGCTTCCCTCCTTCATTTGATCGAATTGTGCTTTTCCAATAAGATTCTTAGTCTCTGGTAGTTCTGGAACGTGGCATGTGATGAAGTCCGCGGTATTAAGTAATTCGTTTAGAGTAGGAACCTGTCTGGCTGTACCCAAAGCCATGAGGTTGACAACATCGTAGTAGATTACCGACATGCCCATGGCTTCGGCAAGAACAGATAGTTGCGATCCAATGTGGCCATAACCAATTATACCTAAAAATCGAGAATTAGCCCTATGCGAAAAGAAGGCATGCGTGCAATTACATACCAAGAGTCTTTCCACGAATTTCCCAGCATTTGTTGCTAACTTTGTTCCAAACTCCATTGTGTAATTCATTCGATCGGTCGCCGAGTTGACGGGCAAGGACAACGATTTCCGCAATGACCAATTCTGCTACACTTCTAGAGTTGGCGAATGGAGAGTTGAAGACTGCGATTCCATGTGCGGCAGCATAGTCAAGGTCGACCTGGTTAGTGCCAATACAGAAACATCCCACCACAATCAGGTTCTTGGCTTCACGAAGGACTTTCTCGCTGAGCTTGGTTTTCGATCTGATTCCAATAACATGGACATCTCTATACAATAGTTGTTAGCAAGGCTTCCTTCCTTGTTGGCTTCAGTCATCATACCGAATCTTTTCGATCAATTCGGCCTCTGGTAAAGAACTCTTCAATGATTCAACTTGGTATCCTTGTCCGGTAAGAATATCCTTTCCACTTTGGTTGACATTTTCCAGGAGCAAAATCTTAATGTTTTCTTTATCGAATGGCTTCAATTGTTTTGCCTGGGCTTGGGCACTTGATCTCGACATGGAGCCTCCATAGCTTGAGGGTGGAGAATGGAAACTTAATGTAGGGGAACCGCTCAAGTTCATGCTATTGGAGACTATTCTTGAAAGGCCGGTTGCCCCAACGATATCTTGTGGTGTAGTCATGTTTGAAGCAATCGATTGAGAAGTGTGAATATGAATGTGAAAAACTATCAAGAATGATGAATGATGAATATAAAAATGCAATCTTCCAAAAAGTCAAGGGATTAATCAACAATTTAAGTTTTCTATGATCATGTATGGATGAGTCAAAACCTAGTAAAGTAGAGGGGCGTGACAAGCACAAACTCGCAAAGTATTGCTCTTGGTAGAATATCGCGTCATCGGCAAGGCTCGGCGAGGCTCCGGAACAATGAACTGACCTGACCTGAGAATTTGGATTATTTGCTTCATTTCCGCAAGGTGATAAAGTAATATGTCAAGTCAAGTCAAGTGATATGGATGCCGATACGGGTTACCATCTTTTCGTATGGACGATAGGATGTGCAGTCGGGTGATGGCAAAAGTAGATCATCCGCGAACATTCTTCTCACAGTTCGATGTTAAATCACAGATAGAGTTACCTAGGTACCTACATATTGAATTGATCAGGATCGTTCTCATTGATATATCGTAGACATCGGAAACTATGTAGGAATATCTCATCCAGATCAATATTGCTATTAGGATTATTGTTGTTATTGTTATTGTTATTGTCATTGTCCTGTGTAAAATCAAACATTCAAAGGCTTTTTTAATGCATGAGCCAGCTTAGAAAAGGTCTGTATGGAGGAACCCTTACCACTGAGAGAAGAAGCCAAACATCAGAAATCGAGATAGAACATAACACTCTTCGATGTTCCAATGATTCCAAATGAATTGGACCCCTCCACCCTCACCCTTCACCCTTCACCCTCACCCTCACCCGAAAATGCTTTATGGTATCAAAGTTGCAAAAGTTTTCCCATGTATTCTGAATGATTGGGTATTCTGCAATTCTTCTTATTAGTATGTACGTTGACCCTTCTTAGCGCTTGGACCATTTAAACTATCAAAAATAACTCGCTTAATTTTCATTTACGCACAGAAATCAAAATTGTTTGAAGACCTCTTCTTGATTTCACCAGACCACCAACGCCCACTCAACAATTCAATCTCAGTCGGCGAAAAGGTAACTAATCGCAATCATGGCTGTCGGAAAGTGAGTAAATTCCTCGCTATCATATCCTGTTTCCTCGATACTGTGCTGTTGCAAATCGATGAATCGCAATATACACGCATTTGATATGGCGGGTTCGCGACAATTGAAGAAGAACGAGGACGAGGGGCAAAGCATCAAGAACTGGAATCTGACAGCACGACAGGAATAAGCGTCTCTCTAAGGGCAAGAAGGGTTTGAAGAAGAAGACCTTGGATCCCTTCACCCGTAAAGATTGGTACCAGATCAAGGTATGTTGAATTTTGATACGGAAACTCATCCGCCGAGACTAACTATATTTATCACAGGCACCATCTTCATTCCAAATCAGAGAGTACGACAATCCTATTACTCATTTTTCGAATTCCATCTAATAATTTTTACAGTGTCGGAAAGACCCTTGTCAACAGAACCACCGGTCTCAAGAACGCCAACGACTCATTGAAGGGAAGAATCGTCGAGGTTTCTTTGGCCGATTTGCAAAAGGATGAGGACCACGCTTTCCGCAAGGTTAAGCTCCGTGTCGATGAGGTTCAAGGAAAGAACTGCTTGACCAACTTCCACGGTCTCGACTTCACATCAGACAAGCTCAGATCTCTCGTCAGAAAGTGGCAATCCTTGATCGAGGCCAACATCACCGTCAAGACCACCGACGACTACCTCCTCCGTCTCTTCGCCATTGCTTTCACCAAGCGCAGACCTAACCAAATCAAGAAGACCACATACGCTGCTTCTTCCCAAATCAGAGCCATCCGTAAGAAGATGACCGAGATTATTCAACGTGAGGCCAGCACTTGCACTCTCACTCAACTCACCGCCAAGCTCATCCCAGAGGTTATCGGTCGTGAGATTGAGAAGGCAACCCAAGGCATCTACCCATTACAAAACGTACGTTTGATTATCTGGAGAGGTTGGAATTTTATATGCTAATTTTACAATAGGTTCACATCAGAAAAGTCAAGCTTTTGAAGGCACCCAAGTTCGACCTTGGTGCTCTTCTTAACCTCCACGGCGAGTCAAACACAGATGAGCAGGGTCAAAAGGTTGAGAGGGAATTCAAGGAGAAGGTGTTGGAGGAAGTATAAATTAAGGATGACGATGTTATGTGGTTTGGGTTTGATGGTGCATGATATGTAGTCAAGTCTGGGCTTTGGGCAATATAGGCGTGACTTTGCATCACATATAGCCTTTGGCTATCATTCAATTCCAAAAATGTCAAAAAAATGCAAAAACACAGTGTCCATGAGGACGATCCACGTGAATGCACTGGTGGCGTTGTTAATCTTGCATCAGCCCTTGCTTTTAGCGAGTGACGTTGTGATTAACATGCCCCAACATCTTTCCTTCCTTATATGCATCCCATTTCCTTTTCTAACCCTGGACCATCAACCTCACATCCATATACTACAGCTTTTTATTCCTCTAACGACTTCTCAATATTCTCACAATGTCATCCGACGAATCTATACCAACTCTTAAAATTCTCTTGATAGGTCCATCAGGAGCCGGTAAATCTGCATGTACGACCCCCAATTCCACCTTGTGCACTTGTTTTGTAGCAGTTGAGAAAAGAGGCTAGGCTTGTGCTAACAGAGGATTTTTTGGTCTAGTGCTCATACGATATTGTGATGATCAGTTTGATTCAGAGAGTAGTACTGCTACTATTGGAGTCGATTTTAAGGTTCGTCTCTCTGATTCATGTTATTTTTCTTTCTCTTTTATTTGAATAGATGAGA